TATATATTTAAAGGAAATTGATAGGCACAAATATCAATTTTTCATGCGCTTTTTGACCCCATAATGAGAGACCGCGTCATGTGCATAAACTTTCAGAGCCCCGCGCCATGGTGTGATTGAAACCTTAACTTAAAGGGAATTACAGTGACCCCGCCACCAATAGGCCAAGACTTGCAGTGCGTATATATATATATGCGCTATATATGTACAAAAAACTTGAGTTGTATGTATGTAATAGAATGCACTAAATTAACTCATCTAGGTCACACCAAAACATTGAAAGTGAAATGATTATCGATAATGATTATTCTATCACTCACATATACACTTCTGATAACTTTTGTCGTTCCAACAGCCCTAAAAAAAAATAAATACTGTCGCTTTTAAATCTATTAATTGTAATTCAAGTAGTCATTTATAATTGGCTAATCATTAATTGAAAGGTACAAATAAAATTGCCTCTAATAAATTAGGTAATTTGGGGTGTTCACTTTCCTTAGGGTAATACAATAGATATAAACATTTGATCAAGTCAAAAAGCGTTCTTGCCTTCATTTGCAAGCCAACATGACAGTAGACTCAAGACAATCAAACTATTTTAAAATTCATAAGTTTAGGTGACTAGCTCTCATCTAGCCAAGTTCTATCATGCAAATTGTCCTCCTTAGCTTGTTTTATATGTTGTTTGAGTTAACTTACAAAAAAAATACCACCATAATTAACATTTTAAAAATGAAATACACACTCACACATAAATATATACTCTCATACATAATCAAACAATCATATTGCACTCATCTCAAAGCAAGCACAAAGATTTAAGAACCCACTTTCATCATACTTTTATTAATATATACTTAATGTCATCTATTCAATTCATTTCATTCTTTACATGGCTAGCAACAGGCCTTCATAAGAACCCACTAAAAAAGAAGAGCTCTCTCTTCATCTGGGATCAATCTACTCTCTTCTTTATCAGCTTCCTTAATCTTTGCCCACAAGACAACATACAAGCCAACAAACATGAGCCCCATACCTATCAAGCTGCAATATTAATAAAATCAAATAAAATAAATTTTAATATTTTAGGATTTTATTTTCACTAACAATTCATAAATTCAAGCAATTAATTTAATATATAAATACCCCTTAATTCCTATGTATTTACATATGTAACAGCTTACTAATGCATGCAAGTGTGTATTACATTGATGCATAGGAATTGTGTGGCATGTATGTGTAAATGCCCCAATAAATAAATACCTTCCAAGGCTGATAAACTGCTTTAATATCAGTGCTGAAAGAATGGCTGCACAGAATGATTGTGTAGGTTGGAAGACTGAAACAAAAACCGGTCCTTTCTTATGAACAGACATTGTTACTACTAATGAGCTTATGGATGTCACTGATCCTCCCTGCAACATAATATTTTATAAATTATTGTTTAAAATATAGCTTTATAAAATTTATATTTTGAAACAAAAGGGAATGAAATGTTTAAGGAAATGGTTAGTATATATAATACCGCTAACACAGCAGTGATAAGGACATTGAGGCTGAGGCTGGCGACTCCGCTGGTTATATTTCCTTGCAAGATATACTGAAATATTAAGGAAAAGAAAGAGCCTAATATGGCAGCTATAACGGTCATGGAAATCGGAGCTGGAAATTCCTCCATTGTTGTAGCCTGCAAGTTCAAGTAATAGTACTGAAATATATATTTTGAGTTGGACGAACATATTTTAATATGGAATATATAGCTTGTGTTCTTTGCATGCATGCATGCATGAAAATCTAGCTTATTCATGTATATATATATAAAGTAAATTGATAGGCCCAAATATCAATTTCTCATGCGTTTTTTGACCCCATGATGAGAGCCCGCGTCATGTGTCTAAAATTTCAGAGCCCCCACGCCACGGTGGGATTGAACTCTTAACCTAAGGAGAATTACAGTGACCTCGCTACCAATAGGCCAAGATTTGCGGCGCATACATATAAGT